CTAGGAATCTGCCTTCTTGTAACACTGTAGTGACAAAGGCAAGGATAACCACGCTGTGATCTAAATTCACAAAGGAGAATGTAACTTCCATCCTAAATGCATTAGGAATTGTTGCTATCTGAGCAGTGTGGATTATGTCTAAACCTGCTCAGCCTTTATCTCTTTGTCAGTCATTTAATGTCACAGATTTTTATGCAATTCAACAGACGAAGAAAGAACAAACAAATCACAAGTCTATGAGTGTCAACACCAGCCACGTGCTATATTTCTCTCATTTTCCCCATCAGGATAGCACTCAAGCTATCAGGCCGAGAATAAAATGTTAGAATAAAGAATGCATAAAAATCAAACCCGAGTAATTTGCAGGGCCAGAATATTCGAATAGATACAAACATTATGGAGTTTCTTCCCTTGGGGCTCTAGCGGGAGTGCAGTTTATCTGTTGCTTGGTTAACGAATCACAGGTTGAACTAGTTCAGAGAAAATATTTCTATTATTACGAAGTATGACTCCAAGAAGTCAAGCTCCTGGTCTCCCAGCTAGCTGCTCCCAAGCAAGGTTCAGTTAAAGAAACACACCTGTAAAAATGTTACTTCTTATATAATGGATATAGATATGTATGTGCAATGCAGTAGACTGCCATTTTAACCTAGTATTTAAGGATTGCTACATTTAAAATGCAATTAGCATATTATAAAGGATATTTGACTTAAAATTGTGAGTGAAATCCTGCCCCCTTGAAGTTAACCCAGTTCTCCATTAACTTCAATGGGGCTAGGATTTCAACTTCTGCTTTACAATATTCCTTTTTTTTTTCCCAAATGATGATTATGACTTTTCTTGCTTTCTCTGATGGTAGAAAGCCTGCCCCTTTGAAGTCAGTGGTCCAGGAGCTGATCTTAGTAAGAGTATTCCTGTATGCCCTTCATGAGCAGAATCATGGCCAAACTGGAGTTGTAATAAATAACTAACAACACATTTTTAAATCCAATATCCCACATGCAGAGTTCTCTTGATTTCTAATTAATACATCTGTTCCTTGATGAATTAGGCCAATTCCGGATGAGCTGCAAATCCTGATGAATTGGCAAGCCCCATCTCTTTGCAAGCGTCTTGTAATAATGTCTAACTGAAGAGCCAGTCTGGCAGGCTGATTTGTCTAAGCAGACCTCTGCACCCATACAGAGCTCCAGAGATTTTGAGAACCTTCTGCTGACTAAATGATTCACATAGGTGCAAGCGTACACCATCCTATCTTGCAGGATTAGGCCTAAATAGTTTTTCCTTCTAAAGTGTCATTTGGGGGACACATTTTCACCCCCTTTCAACACAAAACTTGTGAAAAACTTCTGAAGCGACCCAACAGGTGATGAGGTCTGCTCGGGAGCCTTTTGTGCGTCAGTGTTAAGTTCTTTGGGAGTTGTATGTGTAGAAGGCTGGAGTGGTTAGGCCCAGGCCCTGCAAAACACTGGCTCTGATCCTGCCACCACTTACATAGGAGCTTACTTTTACTACCAGAGGTGCTAGCAGTAGTAGGGTGATCTTTATGCACCAAGTTGTCCCCCCTTGCCTTTGGGGGCACAACTCAAAACATGTACAGCAAAGCACAGCTTTGCAGGATTAGGGCTGCTGAGAACACTTTTATCATTTGTAAAAAAAAATCTAAAAATGTGCAGTTTTGAAAGAAAGTGACCAAAACTGTATGAACATTGCTAATATTGTGCTGGACTGTAAATTGCAGCTGCATACCATCTTTTTGCTGTTGAGCTAATTGATATATTAAACTATCCAAGTTCATAATTTTTAATAAAAATGTTTCCCGATAATCAAGTTTTAATGACAAAATAGCTCCAAGGAAAGAATACTGCTTATGCCACTGTAAGACAAGGGTTCTCAAATCAGCTGGGGTATTCTTTATAGCCAGATATAGAGGATATACAGTGGAGAAAAAACAAACACATTCTGAATTTCCTTTTAAAGCTAGTGCTTGGTCTTAACACAGTGAGTGACCACTAACCTTCTAGATAGCAAGTAATGATTCCTGGGGAAATCAGTGCAATGAGAACAGCAAGTAGCTGAATATGGCCTGAAATGTGGCCCATATTTTACAAGTTATTTACTACTAAAAGATGAAGATTTAAGTCCATGCGCCTTAAATAGGATCCATGAATCAGGTCCTGACCCTGTACTTAAGTTTCACAACCTTATTTGAAATCTGAAAGTGGAAAAAAAATATCTGTTTCTTATGACAATATGTAACATTTCATAGGTTCATAGATGTTAGGGTCGGAAGGGACCTCAATAGATCATCGAGTCCGACCCCCTGCATAGGCAGGAAAGAGT